TCGCGGAGCTACCTCAACCAACACCGATGGTCACCGAATACTAAACTCCTTACAAGGACCTTTAGAACGACTCCCATATATATATATATATATATATTATGTTTGAGCCATACCCGTTGGTCGCAAGGCCATTGCCTCACATCGTTTGCACTGTTTATAGCTTGAACAAGAAGCTTACCTACTCGTTGCTCTACGGCTTCGCGTTTTTCTCACCCAGGAAGTCGCGCGAAAGGCAGAACGCCCGACTTGCTGACCTTCTTGCTAAGCAAAAGGGGCTGGATTTACTCATACCTCATGGGAAACAAGGGGGCTGAAAAACCAGGCACCATGTGGAAAACACGCACGGCATATACCAAACCTCCACGTGCTCTAGTTAAGCTATTGCCCGGTGTTTGCCATGCCCTCTCAAAGTGTATCTCTTTGTGCAACATCTCGTTCGGAAAAAGCGGCTGGAACAACTCCCTCATTCCCTACTGAGAACCAGCAAGAAGAGGGCTCCAAACTAGCTCAAAGCTTAGGGCTTTGCCTTTGGGCCGCCCTTTTTGCTTGGTTGAATCTCAAATGATTTCTACTACCCCCGAACAACTGCCCCCAGGCTGAGTAGGGTAAATTGCCTTTATATAGTGGCTATATAGTGGTTGTATGTCCCATTTAGCAACTAGGGGTAGCTTCGGTTTGGGGGTAGTGCAAACCATGCAGGTTGAAGATACCCCGTCTTGCTGGAACTGGGTTCACTTTTTGGGGGCGGGGGTTGAGGGGTTGAGGTTTCACACAAGAGGGCAAACCCCCAAATGAGAAAACAATAATAAATAAGAGGCGCATAAGCCCAAAATGAGGCTGAAGTGTTACACATACGTATGTATGTATTTGTATAATACTATATGTCTGCTTTACCCTAAACCTCAAAAGGACTAAGTAACCACGGCCGACTCCAAAAGGACTAGAATACTAGGGTCTTTTCAAAAGGCCCTGCGTACTTAGAAACTGCCAACATATTAAAGTGTACCTGGTACCTGGTGAAAGCTTGCAGATTTGACACATGGTAAAGCCCTGGTGCCATCTTAGATGACCTCAGCGGGAAACTAAGCCAGCCTTCGTTTTCCATGTGCAAGCTCCATGCAAGGGTAGGGCGTTAGCAGAGCCAAGCCACATACCACTTGAATCCCGCCCAAGCTACATTTTGGGAACTCAGCAAATCACATTCATGTCGTGTAGGTCAGTTAAGGCAGGCCGCAAGTAGAAAGAGTTGTTCACCAGTCATGTCCACTTATGAGGAATAATCTGATCCTGAAAAAAGCTAAGCAACCCCTGCCAGAAAAATATAAATGTTCTGTAGTTTTTGCCAAGGGCTGCCCCTAAATATTTTTTACCCAATCTCCAACCCTCCTGGCTGCACCCAATCCAATCCTGCTAACCCTTCTGGACCCCACTGCAAACCCCACCCTTAGGTGTTTTGTTGATGATTTACACAATGACCAACCTCTCTTTAGAAATCCACTTAGCCTGTCTTGGACGTCCATTTCCACCAATTGTTGATTTATATCAAAAGCCTTTCAAGCACATCATGAACCAAAAAGCCAAGGGTACCCTCTACAAAGCTACATGGGACTACCCACAACATGACCACACAGACAGCTATCGGCGTATTGCCCCAAAACATTGATTTTCCAATATCGATTCCAATTGGTGGTGCCATTGCCAGCGTCCCTTCTTGAAGCCGACCAAGCATCGAACATGTGGAAGAGATGTTGATAGTAACATGTGTTTGTCAAACCTTCTCAAAAAGCATCCCATAACAATCAGCCAAGTGTACCCCGAACAAAGTTACGTGGTGCTTACAAACACTAATTGAGCTAAGAGCGTATTGCCCCTTGCCAATGTGTATCCACAATTAAGTTCAATGTTTGGTGCCATTGCCAGTTTTCCTGTACAAAGTCAACCAAACATCAAATATGCGGGCTTCAAGTCTATAAGATGTTATCTTTTCTTGTAAGACAAAACATATAGACATCCGAAAATAATTAGCTAAAGATATCCCTACAACAAAACACTTGCTCCTAAACATGTGCCCTAAATAAAGTCAATGGTCTTTGTCACTTCCTAGTAATGCGTCCTATTCAAAAAGCAGTTCAAAAGTACGGATTATTTTTCTATCAAAGTTTTGGCAGAAACCACTGACCGTGAATAAAGCTAATGATTTGGGCCGATTGAGGCAAATGCAAAAGCTTCTCAACTGGAAAATTGCTCTCTGATGTAATACTGCCAAGCTTCCTGAAACCTGATTCAAATACAAAACAACTCGACAATAGTATAGCGCCTGTTACAGTAGTATTGGCAACAAACAGACGTCTGGGTCATGTCGTACTGATCCTACGAATAATTTAAAACGTAGCATTTCACCTTTCTAAAGTGCGTAGGGCTGCCATATTTCCAGAAATTTGATGGCGCAAGAAATACAAATTCAAAATAATATTGTCAGACTTCCCGAACCCTGACCTAGAACCAAAACAAAGGAACACTAGTATTGCCAGACTTCCTGCATCCCGACCCCAAAAAATGTGATTTTGAGTATTAAGCCGGACAATTCAGTCAAGATGTTTATTTGGGATCGCAGTGGAGGGGGTGGGGCCCCCGTTCATTACTCAGAGGTGTATCGTGGCTCACCCTTTCTATACAAATCGCGTTTTCAGCATATTCTAATGGGAAGGCCTTTTAAAACCACGAAAATTGCGGGCGGCGGAAGTGCTTTTTACCAGCTGGGATTGGGAGCAAGATTTCACGGCCTTTCACGAGTAGACAGGGCCTTTCACGAGTAGGCAGGTCCTTTTCACGCTGTTTCACGCCAATTCACGCGCTTTCACGCTACCACTCCCCTTGCAGAATCCCGTGATCACCTGGCTCAGCATTCCCAAACCCAACGTAGGACACCGCTCGCATGTCAAACTGGGCCAGGTTTAATTGGGGGAAGCAATGCTGACCGCATGCAAAATGCGTGGTACGCACAGAATGTCTACCTCCACCTCTGATAAATAAACAGGGGTCCCCACCCCTCTACTTTGATCCCAAATAAACATCTTGACTGAATTGTCCGGCTTAATACTCAAAATCACATTTTTTGGGGTCGGGATGCAGGAAGTCTGGCAATACTACTGTTCCTTTGTTTTGGTTCTAGGTCAGGGTTCGGGAAGTCTGACAATATTATTTTGAATTTGTATTTCTTGCGCCATCAAATTTCTGGAAATATGGCAGCCCTACGCACTTTAGAAAGGTGAAATGCTACGTTTTAAATTATTCGTAGGATCAGTACGACATGACCCGGACGTCTGTTTGTTGCCAATACTACTGTAACAGGCGCTATACTATTGTCGAGTTGTTTTGTATTTGAATCAGGTTTCAGGAAGCTTGGCAGTATTACATCAGAGAGCAACTTTCCAGTTGAGAAGCTTTTGCATTTGCCTCAATCGGCCCAAATCATTAGCTTTATTCACGGTCAGTGGTTTCTGCCAAAACTTTGATAGAAAAATAATCCGTACTTTTGAACTGCTTTTTGAATAGGACGCATTGCCAGGAAGTGACAAAGACCATTGACTTTATTTAGGGCACATGTTTAGGAGCAAGTGTTTTGTTGTAGGGATATCTTTAGCTAATTATTTTCGGATGTCTATATGTTTTGTCTTACAAAGAAAAGATAACATCTTATAGACTTGAAGCCCATATATTTGATGTTTGGTTGGCTTGTACAGGAAAACTGGCAATGGCACCAAAGATTGGACTCAATTGTGGATAAACATTGGCTAGGGGCAATACGCTCTTAGCTCGATTAATGTTTGTAAGTACCACGTAACTTTGTTCGGGGTACCCTTGGCTGATTGTTATGGGATGATTTGGTTGAGAAGGGGACAAACAAATGTTACTATTATATAACATCTCTTCCACATGTTCGATGCTTGGTCGGCTTCAAAAAGGGACGCTGGCAATGGCACCACCAATTGGAATCGATCTAGGATAAGTCTTGTTTAGGGGCAATACGCCGATAGTTTTGTTTAGGACCACTTTTGGGTAGCGCCATATGACTGCATGGGTACCCTTGGTTATCAAAAAGGTTCTGTATGTGTGTATAAAAAAATATGAGTGTACATTATCATGATCATAGACCCCTAAACCTCTGTTTTGCCTGGCCACATACAGTGAAGAGAGGCTGGTAATTTTACAAAAGCTTGGAATCAACAATGCTCCTAAGGGTGGTGTTTGCAGTGGGGTGCGGCGGACTGGAAGGATTGGATTGGGTCCAAACAGCAGGGTTGGGGATGAGGTCAAATTGCTTTGGGGCCATGGACCCTTAGCTTCATTTGGGGGTAGTCTATATTTATTCTTGCGGGGTCGCTTAGCTTTATGCCGGGCTGGCCTTTGGTGCATTCCTCATAGGTGGCCAGTATGCGTTGATGCTTTTTTGGCTGAAATTCTGCCACAAGATCAAGTACGAGAAGTGACCAAAAAAATCATTGTGCATATCAAGGTTGCTAGCGAGAATGGAACAGCTTGTACGAAGCCAAATTAGAGGGTTTCGTCATCATGTTCACACCCTGAGCCCTTGACAGTAGCTTCATATATCGTACAGGAATTCCCAACAGGGTGCCATGTTGCAAATCCCCGAGTAGTAAGTCCCGCTCGAGTAAAGAGGTCCTTTTACAAGAACCTAGTTACTGAGGCCTTTGAAGCCTAGGGTTAGGGGCTTGATCTAGCGCTGGCTGTTTCTGCGTGGGTGTGGGGAAAATCGGTGATTCAAACAAGGAACAACCGTGTAAGCCAAACAACACAATGACGACAACAAAACCAGAAGAGGAACAAAGAAACCGATCAGAAAAGCGGAGCGACATTGCAGGGAAACACTGACCCCAAGCAAGCCACAACTGTTTGTCTTGGAAATTCACGCCCGCCATCCACTTGTGAGGTCATTCCTAATTCAAAAAATCATAGCCGACTACCAGCCAAGTAAGCCAACAAGAGCAGATCTTCCCATGGTCTTTGGCTGACCGTGTTTTTTGGGCCACTGTTGGATTCAGAAGATTCTGCAGTTACTCACTTGCCCAAAGGCCCAGACAAAAAAGGGTTCACCCTTTGTGTCCTTGACTAAAGACAGGAAACCACAAAGGTCATTTGGTGCACCTACCCCAAAATGGTACTATTGGTTTTGACCCACAGCCATTGCAGGTCGGTCATGGACAACTGAAATCTACCTGGACCTTGAAAGGACCCGTTTTTCTGCCCTTGGCCCTTGACCCATAAAGAAGTTGTACATTTAAAGGCGGACAAAAGGAATCGGTCCGTGGGGCGTCCAGGTGAGTCCGGCAAAGCTTGGACCTGGAGTCTCCTTCCGACCTTTCTAAAATGGGGTCAGTACCCAAAATAATGGTTGGTCATGGACCCATTTTTATTTCGGGTCCTTGGGGAGACTCCAGGAACCTTCCCACGTCCCCAACACGCCGCACAGATCCGCCTGGTGGGCGCCTTCTGGGGTGCCAAGAAGGCGACCGAAGCGCCCAGGGCGGCCGAGGCGGCAATCTTGGACATGACAGGCATGGCCTGCGCCGGAGAAACGAGCCACGTAACGCAAAAAGAAAAAAGCCCGAAGTCTCCATGACCCGAAATAAAAATGGGTCCATGACCAACCATGATTTGGGTCACGACCAACCATGTTTAAAGGGTCGGAAGGAGACTCCAGGGAGCGTTGGAATGCAAGTCATCTAGGGTGTGCAACAAATAAGTCATGGAATCAGAGGGGTCGGCACCATCGGGTAGTTGAGAGCCCCGTTCGCGGGGTAGGGAGCATTACCCCTTACACCCAATACCCACTTTTTTTAGGGTATGATGTCGACCCTCTACTAAAAAAGGAGGTATTTACCTTGAAAAACCAGGTTTTCCCAAAAATGCCCTCAAAAAAGCGGGTATTTGGAGTAGGGGGTAGGAAACCCCACCTCCCCAACGAGTCCGGATCATAACTCCAGTTGGATGTCACAACTCTTTCAGGGTCTGATTTGTCGGAAACCACCGGAACAACAAGCCAACAAGAGCAGATGCTCCCAATGCTTTGTTCAAGCTTCCTGGAGTCTCCATGTAGACTCCAGGTTCTTCTTTTCTCTTTTCCCGGACCATGGATTCCGAGGAAGATGTAAATGGGTTGTGATCATCCTGGCGGAATAGTCAATAGGGGCCGTATCTCCCCATCAAAACTCACCTGGGATACTAGTGCTGGGTTAACCCAAAGTGTGCCTAGCTGCAGTCTCCAGAACCCTTCAAAAACGGGGTGCAACCAAGGGTGTTTCTTTTCTCCGTGAACATCCCTGCAAACAAAACGGGTGGGTTTTGGCATATGTTCCTCAAAGGGTTCATGTTGTAAAGGCCAAACCGAGTATGGCAGGACAAAGGTGGCTCAAAGAGCTTCCACACTCGAAGCGGCCTACCTGAAAACTACCCTCGCCAAACAACATGTGTTCGTTTTGGTCCGGTGGAGAAGGCAAAATCTCCTGGAAGTCTCCTTCTCACCCTTGAAAATGTGGGTAGACAATCCTACCTGGAGTATCCATGACTCTTTAAAAATGGGTCCATGACCCCATTATTTTGGGTAATGACCCCCTTTTTAAAGGGTCATGGCAGGTAGTTTTACAAGGTCGACCATGGAGACTTCAGGCAGACATTTGCAACCAAGACTCAAGTCATCAAGTGCGGTGAAACACGCCAGGTGTCGTTGTGGGAATCACAAGAACATGTGTCTGTCTTTTTGAGGCGGGGACCCTCTGTTTCGTGGGTTTAAGGGGCAACCAAGAAACCCCGAAACCGGAAAACCGTTGCGACATGTTGCGGGGCACCTTAAAACAAGACGAGCTACGTGGGCCATGGTATGCTTTGCCGGTACCTGGAGTCTCCATGACCCTTCAACAATGGGGTCATTGTACCAAATAATGGGGTCATGGAGCCATTTTTAAAGGGTCATGTAGACTCCAGGTAGCAAGTTCTCCTTCGACCGAGATGCACCCGCCTCGATGTCGAAATCGACGGGCCGAGGGCTGCGACCTAAAAACTGGGCGATCCTTGGAGCCCTCGGCGAAGCGGCGAAGGTAGGATTTGGGCGCTACCCCATCTTGAGTATTTCGGTTTGGTTTCAAGGGACGCCCAAAGGAACCACCTGGAGTCTCCATGACCCGAAATAAAAATGAGTCCATGACCCTATTATTTGGGGTAATGACCCTATTTGTAAAGGGTCATGAAGACTCCAGGCACCTTTTTTTGGCTGGTTCCATGTTTTTGAGACGAACCTTGGGAAATATGCCACTTTTTTGTTGGTCCCAACTTGCCAGCTTGGAGAATTACCGCGGGGGAGTTTTGCACATGGGAGAAAGAACAAGTGGTCCTTGCAAATGGGTACCTGGAGTCTCCATGACCCTTTAAAAATGGGGTCATTACCCAAAATAATGGAGTCATGGACCCATTTTTAAAGGGTCATGGAGACTCCAGGTACGTTATAAATTATAAAAGTGTGATCATTGAGAATAGTCTTGAGGCATATTTCTCCGTCTTCTCCCTTCCTGAGCGGCTTGGCCCGCAACCAAAACACACACACGGGTTACTTACCACTAATTAATGGTCTTCTGAACGTTTAAAGTCCAGGAACTCTGGGAGTGAGTTTTAGGGTTGGTGGATCGTTTGAACGGAGAGTTGTTAAAGATGATAGAATGAGGTGGTTGGGGGTACATAACTCCACTTGAGGATCACTTCCAAAGTCTACTTCCGAGCCTTGCAAAGAGCAGTCATGGCCCCAGATGTTTTTTGGTAGATGACACATCCCCCCCATGAGGAGGAAAGGTGGGGGGCCGGGGGTCCCCAATTCCATTTATCCCGTCTTTTTCACAAAAAGGGAAATGGGAATTCCAGGGGTGGGCCCCCCCCCCAATTCCATAGATTGAAGGAGGTTGGGCTCCATGAATTCCCCTTAGCATCCATCCGGGGGCCCAGCTGAAACCGATTCCCTGCGCCCCGGTTTTTGCCTCAAAAAAACACTCTGAGAGGTTCGGCGGTTGACGAGCTGTGCGAAATCTCGCGGAAATCGCACCATAGAAATGATGTTGTCATGGTTGAAACCAGAACGTTTCTTGGTATTTACCGAATCGAATCGTAAGGTTTCTGAGGTGCGAATTGGATGTCCTACATCCACAGTATTCCACAATTCCGGGGTAATGGTAGTTAACGAATGAGGAAAAAGGAGGAATTATGGATGTGGGGTTCTTCCTCTAAATAAGGGCTCTCAGGCACCTACAACCAACCTGGGACCCCATATGGCCGTTTTTTTTAGGTCATACGCCTTTGACCGAAAAAAATGGCCATACGGATTTTTACGGTTTTTTTTCAACAACATGTCGAAAAATATGGGTTTCATACGGGTGATTTACGCAAATGACCGAAAAATCATGGCCATACGGGCAAATACGGCCAAATACGGGAGTTTGACCGAAAAAAAACAGCCATACGGGGTGCCAGGAAGACACTGTCGCACAGGTTTGGGGCAAATGTCTTGGGGGGGTCTACCAGGCGGGGTCTCTGTCTGAACAAAAAATAATGTGCACGGGTTCTCATGACATTGCCAGTGAACCAAGTACTCCACGGCAACGCTCCAGCACCATGTGGTAAACTCGAGTTTTCCCTTGTGCCGCTAATTGCGTTCTGGCGTTTGGCTCGCATCAACCAATCTAAGTTCCCAATGCGTCCCAGCACATGCTGCCAAATCCCTGCGACAAACGGCAGTGGGCAAAAATGAAAACCCGAACCAAACAGTATGTTGCAAAATAAGTCCTACACTTTTGGGTGGAAGCTATGATCCCAGAGTCTTCAAGGACACTGAAATCGACTGGGTTGACTGCCGAAGTTGGGGAGTCCTCTTGGCTTCCCTTGAAACCAACCTGAAAAGGGCACCCTGAAAAAGACACACGAACATATGACCGACAGCGTTGCGCGAGCTCTGTCCAACGGAAGTGGCCTCCAACACTCCTTTGAAAGATTCACCAAATACACCACCACCACCGCCGCCACCACCGCCGCCGCCACCGCCACCACCACCACCACCCCCACCACCACCACCGCCGCCGCTACCGCCACCACCACCGTCACCACCATCACCACCACCACCACCACCACCACCACCACCACCACCACCACCACCACCACCACCACAAACACCCTCTCAGCAAAGACTAAACAATGCCACATTTGGACGTGTGTTTGGGGGACTGGTAGCAGTCTGCTTCTGGACAGGAGGGTCTTAGAATACTACTGTCGTAAGGCAGAGGTCTTACATGATTGTTGGAAACTTGGCAATGGTAACTTACTAATCAGGGGTGGTTCCTCTCATACAGTATGACCACTATCTACTTTGCGCGGGTCCTGCTGGTAGTGTTTTCCGGGTGAATGTTGACCCCGGATTAAAATAAGCATATTAATAAGGGGTGTTGCCTCCAAACGTGGTCTGAACCCCACTAAAAAAGAGTTGGACACCAACCCATCAAAATCAACCGGGGGGTGTGCGTAATCCGGGCCAGCATTGTGTGGCCATGGGTCAAAATCCCGTACCAGTGAACATCCCAGTCCCCACTAAAATAGGTTCTAAAATGGGCGGTACCCCAAAATGGGATCCCATTGGTTTTGACCCCCAGCCATGTGGCAACATGAGGACCCCTCCCCCCCAAAAAAAACAAAACACGTGCTATTCAGGCCCCGGAACGAAGCTGGTTCGCTGGGGTCCACATGAGTCCAAAGTCATTCATTCAGACTTCGGCGTCTTATCCGCGCGCCGTAAAGCAGAATTTAAACAGGCTTGTGCAAAAATACACAAACCAGGGAAAACCGAGATCGAAACTTTGTTAAACAACAAATGCATTTGTGTTGTGTAACTGTGGAAACTATGCCACGTCTTCAGAATTGTCATTTGCGCATTCCAAACAAAACAATCTCAATAAACAGTAAACACAGTCTGTACCTGGACCCTCGAAATTCCGTCATAAATTGGTTCTAGCCCCAAATTTATGAGGTGAATTCCCTGGTTCAAGGGTAGTTTGAGGGTTCACGCATCTGTTTTGCCTTCCAACATTGGGGTTTCCACCCTCGCCATGTGCAGGGCCTGCGACCGCATCCGCACAAAGACTTTTCTAAGGCAAAAAAATCGGATCCGCGCCGTCAGGAATGCGCGCTCTTGGCCAGACTTTTCACGAAACCACCGACCGCTTTACTGGGCTGTCTTCAGATCCCCCGCTAAAAGTGACTAACTTTTAGTGGGTCAAATGAAAATCCCTAAACACTACAAGGCTAGAAGGCTAAGGGGATGGCTGGGAGCGACCAAGTTTAGAGGTGGTTCCCTTACAACCCATAAATGAGATGCTAGGCAAAAAGTGACGTTTTTTGCAGCCCCCCGCAACAAAAAAAACAGAATCAACCAACAAAACCAGTAACAGCTTACACAACAGTGAAGGTTTCCTCTCAAAGTGTTTCCTTCCGCGCTTGAATGGATGAGTTGACTGGCACAGAGATGTTGCATCCTGAGGAAAAAAGGCGCATGAGAGCCGCCCAATTGCCCAGCGACCAGCTTGAAGGAGTTTCAAGTGGAGCCATTTCCGTTTTGGTGGGTACCGCGTTAGACTAGTCTAGCTGTACCCTCCCCATTCTTCTAGGGGTTGATTCCCCATTCTTTTCAACCATCGTTCTTTTCAAAAACCGACTGTTTCCCCTAGGTTTTGGATGGTTTCCCGAAAAGAAGGGATCCCTGGAAAGAATGGGGAAGGTACCGTACCCCTGGAATTCTCTTCAAGGAACCTTCTCTTCAACAGAGGTTGTCAAACCCTTGAGAAATGGGTGGTTTCTAAAGAGAACGATGGCTGAAGAGAATGGGGAATCAAACAATAGAACTAGAGAGTCCCCAACCCGCCAAACACACAGAAATCTCGGGACGAAAAAAGGGTTTGTCCATACGTGTCCAAATCTCGGGATGCTGTTCCTTTTGTTTTCCCGTCAATACCACCCCAACGAAGGGCAACAAAATAAAATCACACACCCATCTGGGCTGCCCTCAGATCCCCTGCTAAAAGTTTAACTTTTGGTGGTTTAAATGGAAGCACCACTAAAAGGCTAAAAAGCTAAGGAACCGGATGGCTGCGAACCACCAAGCCATGTCCAGTGAGTCTGAAACCCACCAAGCTTGGAACCTGAGCGACTGGGGCCGTCTATACAAAGCTCCTGCGCGCGACGCGCGACAAACCTCGGCGAAACCTCTCAAAGGCCCTTGGGGATGAAGTCGCCGACCTTGAGCGAGCCGTATTTCTGGTTGGGATCGTCCCTTACCAACCTTCATCCCACTTGGATGGTCAGCCCACTTGAGTCACAATCAAAACCCGGTATTAAACTGGTCGACCCAGAACCATGTAAAGAATTTAGAATGCGGCCGCAGCTATTTCTGGTTGGGATCGTCCCTTACTAATCTTCATCTACCCGGGTGTTCATTGTGATTCACTTGGATGTTCTCAGAATCCCCCTAAAATTGACCAACGTTTAGTGGGTGAAATGGAAACCCTCACCTAGGTCCTCCAGCAGAGAGCTTAGAATAAGGGTACCCTTTTGTTCTCCCTCACAAAAGGGTAAAAGGGCACTACTGCCCACTTGGATGTTCTCAAAATCCCCCCTAAAAGTGACTAACATTTAGTGGGTTAAGTGGAAACCCGCACTAAACCAACTAAAAACCTAAAAAGCTGAGGAACCGGATGTCTGAGAGCCACCAAGTTGTATATGTATAAGATACTTGATTCATATCACGATGGTTTAACTTGGACATTCTATTCCCGAGAGTCCCCTTCTTGCCAAGCTGAACATGGACCACGGGCCCCTTTACACGACCAAACTCGGACCCGACTACGGGCGCTACATGGACCCGTTTGACCAATCGGGTCAAATCCAAATCCACCGATCCAAACGATTGTGTGAGATTTGGGGGCTACCTACCCCCTGCTCCAAATACCCTCTTTTTCTAGGGTATGCTGTCGACCCTCACACCCAGGTTTTTCAAAAAAACAAAAGAAGAAGCGGGTATCTGGAGTAGGGGTTCCTTGAAGGGGGGTGGGGTCTGGGACCCACTTCCATTTTCAAAATAATTTGCCGCCACAAATGGAGAGGGGTCGAAAGCCCCCCTCCCCCAATTCTAGTTTTTAAGGAGTGGGGATATTACATCACCAGCACCTTCCGAGGTGGACCATTTCCAGAAGTGCCCGTGTGGGCCATCTTGGGTACCAATTGACGCCATCTTCAGCCAGCCTTAAAATGGAAAGTCATGGAGAAGACCCCAGCACTGCATCGTCACCACTTGTTTGGTGCCAACGATTTTAGCCGGGGAGCCAAACGAAAAAGGATGTAGAAGGGACTAGAATCGGAGTGAGGTCTTAAATCTTAACAGGTGTTGTTCAAGCTCAACAGCCTGGCCGTTCTTTTCGGCACAAATGCCCGCGCCCAGTGGGACTTGCGCCAATAAACTTCCGCAGGGTCAAGCTTCGAAGAAACCGAGTACAGGACATGTCACAGCAAATTTTTGCTTTGAATTTTCGCCCAATTTCCTCTATGAAAGCTTTCGAAGACGATAGGGGCGCTAAACCAGTCCGGCAAACAACGGAAAGCGCCTGCCACGGCATGCGATGGCTTTCCCTTGTTTTCCCTTGCTTTCCCTTGCCTTCCTTCGCTTGACCTTGCCTTTTCCCTTGCGTTGCCTTGCTTTCCCTTGCTTTCCCTTTCCGTTGCTTTCCCATTTCCTTGCTTTCCCTTGCTGTCCCTTGCTTTCCTTTGCTTTGCCTTGCTTTGCCCGTGCTTTAGCTTGCTTTGCCTTGCTGTCCCTTGCTTTCCCTTGTTTTCGCTTGCTTTCCCTTGCTTTGCCCGTGCTTTTGCTTGCTTTGCCTTGCTGCCCCTTGCTTTACCTTGTTTTCCCTTGCTGTCCCTTGCTTTCCTTTGCTTTGCCTTTCTGTGCCCGTGCTTTTGCTTGCTTTGCCTTGCTGTCTTGCTGTCTCTTGCTTTCCCTTGCTTTGCCTTGCTTTGCCCGTGCTTTTGCTTGCTTTGCCTTGCTGTCCCTTCCTTTCCCTTGTGTTCCTTTGCTTTGCGTTGCTTTGCCCATGCTTTTGCTTTCTTTGCCCTGCTATCCCTTGCTTTCACTTGTTTTCCATTTCCCTTTCTTTCCCTTGCTTTGCCCGTGCTTTTGCTTGCTTTGCCTTGCTATCCTTTGCTTTCCCTTGTTTTCCCTTTCCCTTCCTGTCCCTTGTGTTCCTTTGCTTTGCGTTGCTTTGCCCATGCTTTTGCTTTCTTTGCCCTGCTATCCTTTGCTTTCCCTTGTTTTCCCTTTCCCTTGCTGTCCCTTGTGTTCCTTTGCTTTGCCTTGCTTTGCCCGTGCTTTTGCTTGCTTTGCCTTGCTCTCCCTTGTTTTCCATTGCTTTTGCTTGCCTTCCCATGCTTCCCTTTGATTGTCCTTGCTTTCCCTTTCCCTTGCTTTCCCTTTCCCTTGCTTTCCCTTGCTGTCCCTTTCTTTCCCTTGGTTTCCCTTGCTTTCCCTTGCTGTCCCTTGCGGTCCTTTGCTTTCCTTTGCTTGTCCTTGCTTTCCTCTGCGTTGCCTTGCTTTCCATTGCTTTCCCTTTCCCTTGCTTTCCCCTGATTTCCCTTGCAGTCCCTTGCTTGCTGTCCCTTGCTTTCCTTTGCTTTGCCTTGCTTTGCCTGTGCTTTCGCTTGCTTTGCCTTGCTGTCCCTTGCTTTCCCTTGTGTTTCCCTTGCTTTCCCTTGCTTTTTTGTTGCTGTCCCTTGCTGTCCCTTGCTTTCCTTTGCTTTGACTTGTTTTGCCCGTGCTGTTGCTTTTTGCTGCTGTCCATTGCTGTCCCTTGCTTTGCCTTGCTTTCCCTTGCCTGGCTTGCTTTCCCCTACTTTCGCTTCCTTTGCCCTTGCTTTCCCTTGGTTTGCCTTGCTTTGCCTTGCTGTCCCTTGCCAGCTTGACCCAAGTCAGAGCAAACCAACAACTGCACAACCCTCCTGCACTGAATCACATACAAGCAACAACGCAAACCAGCGCCCGTACTTACACACCCCGTGTCGTCTCCCTGGGACGTGCAAACCAGCCTTGCGGTGGCAGAAAGTGCTCCAAAAAAACACTCCCAAAAAATTGGAGTATTTTCCTGCGACATTCCCAGCATCGCCGACCACCACAAAAACTTCCAAAACAAGCGACATCCCCTGCATCCCCGGCATCCCCGGCACCCCTTGTGCGCCCAAGTCCGGCGAGGCCGGAAGCAAAGTAAAATGATGTAAAACTGGCACGCTTTTTGGCCCGTGAAAGCCACAGACGAAAAGGTCAGACATGATAGGCAGCGTCGACGAAAAAGCGCGAAAAACACAGGGGAAAACACCAAAAACCAGCCTTGCGGTGGCAGAAAGTGCTCCAAAAAATACTCCCATTTTTTCGAGTATTTTTCGGCTGACCAGACCTGCAAACCAGTCCGGCAAACAACGGAAAGCGCCTGCCACGGCATGCGATGGCTTTCCCTTGTTTTCCCTTGCTTTCCCTTGCCTTCCTTCGCTTGACCTTGCCTTTTCCCTTGCGTTGCCTTGCTTTCCCTTGCTTTCCCTTTCCGTTGCTTTCCCATTTCCTTGCTTTCCCTTGCTGTCCCTTGCTTTCCTTTGCTTTGCCTTGCTTTGCCCGTGCTTTAGCTTGCTTTGCCTTGCTGTCCCTTGCTTTCCCTTGTTTTCCCTTGCTTTCCCTTGCTTTCCCTTGCCTTCCCTGGCTGTCCCTTGCTTTCGTTCGCTTGTCCCTGCTTTCCCTTTCCCTTTCTTTCCCTTGCTTTGCCCGTGCTTTTGCTTGCTTTGCCTTGCTCTCCCTTGTTTTCCATTGCTTTTGCTTGCCTTCCCATGCTTCCCTTTGATTGTCCTTGCTTTCCCTTTCCCTTGCTTTCCCTTGCTGTCCCTTTCTTTCCGTTGGTTTCCCCTGCTTTCCCTTGCTGTCCCTTGCGGTCCTTTGCTTTCCTTTGCTTGTCCTTGCGTTCCTTTGCGTTGCCTTGCTTTCCATTGCTTTCCCTTTCCCTTGCTTTCCCCTGATTTCCCTTGCAGTCCCTTGCTTGCTGTCCCTTGCTTTCCTTTGCTTTGCCTTGCTTTGCCAGTGCTTTCGCTTGCTTTGCCTTGCTGTCCCTTGCTTTCCCTTGCGTTTCCCTTGCTTTCCCTTGCTTTTTTGTTGCTGTCCCTTGCTGTCCCTTGCTTTCCTTTGCTTTGACTTGTTTTGCCCGTGCTGTTGCTTGCTTTCCCTTGCTGTCCATTGCTGTCCCTTGCTTTGCCTTGCTTTCCCTTGCCTGGCTTGCTGTCCCCTACTTTCGCTTCCTTTGCCCTTGCTTTCCCTTGGTTTGCCTTGCTTTGCCTTGCTGTCGCTTGCTGTCCCTTGCCAGCTTGACCCAAGTCAGAGCAAACCAACAACTGCACAACCCTCCTGCACTGAATCACATACAAGCAACAACCCAAACCAGCGCCCGTACTTACACACCCCGTGTCGTCTCCCTGGGACCTGGCAGAAAGTGCTCCAAAAAATACTTCCAAAAAATGGGAGTACTTTTCCTGCGACATCCCCAGCATCGCCGACCACCACAAAAACTTCCAAAACAAGCGACATCCCCTGCATCCCCGGCATCCCCTGCATCCCCGGCACCCCTTGTGCGCCCAAGTCCGGCGAGGCCGGAAGCAAAGTAAAATGATGTAAAACTGGCACGTTTTTTGGCACGCGAGAGCCACAAACGAAAAGGTCAGACATGATAGGCAGCGTCGACGAAAAAGCGCGAAAAACACAGGGGAAAACACCAAAAACCAGCCTTGCGGTGGCAGAAAGTGCTCCAAAAAATACTCCCATTTTTTGGGAGTATTTTCGGCTGACCAGACCTGCAAATCACCCGGAACGAGGTTACCCCCCCCCCCCACACCCCCCCCCCCCCCCACACCCCCCCCCCCCCCCACCCCCCCCCCACAACTTCGTACACTAACTCCCAGCGCTTCAAGAAGCGCTTTCCGTCATCACCCGGAACGAGGTTTACCCCCCCCCCCCCCCCCCCCCCACCCCCCCCCCCCACACCCCCCCCCCCCCACAACTTCGTACACTAACTCCCAGCGCTTCAAGAAGCGCTTTCCGTCATCATCAGTAGCATGTTGCCTTCATTTACTTCGAAACAAATAAACCCCAGGTGATACTGTGAATGCTCGAAATTCTACACCACTTCGAAACCCTGCAAATCCCTTTTGCTGGTAGAGGGAACACCAACATACCAGAGAACCTTAGGGTGCTGCGAACTGGATTTCGTCCATCCATCCGAACAGCTTGGCAGCTTCAAAGGGCCTTTTGGCTTGAAGGGAAGGCAGCCTGGGCCCGATTTCTGATCCCCCCGAAAGCTTAACTCCTGGGTTAAGTGGATTAGCCGCTAAACACTAAAAGCCTGAAAAGCTAAGGGGATGGCGAGCCATCAAGCAAGACATGGGCCTGTCTTTTTGCGGGCCAACTTCTTGTTTGGTGGTGTTAAAGGAAAACTAACAAGGACAATTACACGTTTATTCTATGTTACGCTCTCTTCTTCTTCTTTTTTTTGGGGGGGTATCGGCCCACCTAAACAACCAAACACGCCAACCAACCGACCGACCGACCGGCCAACTATCCGGCCAACCCACCGACTGACCAACCGGCCAGCCCCACCCACCCAGGACTTTGGAAGTTTTACCATGATCATTTGTTCTTCGCAACTGTTCGTAGCCTGCAAATACCTGGTTTTGTATTGTTGCAGTTGTGTTTGTTTTGTGTTGTTTTGTCTTTTTGTCCGAAGAACCGATCGGTTTTTCACGGAAAAAACCGGTCCCCCGTTTAGTATAGGGTTGACGTCATGCCCTAAAGACAGCGTGCACAGTATTTGGATTATTTTCGACTCCAAATACCCGGCCTTTTTCCAGGGTATGATGTCGACCCTCTGCAAAAAAAGAGGTATTTACCATGGAAAACCGATCGGTTTTCCAAAGAATACCAACTAGAAAGAGGCCGAATCGGTATTTGGTAAGCAACAGGTTCTTTTTGGTGGCAACAGGTTCAAAACCAGATCTTATCGGTGGCATCCTTGTTCAAAGGTTCAATTTGGAGAGATAGGCTTCACGAATTCTAGGTCCAGTAGAAAGGTTGGAATAAGGGTACCGTTTCTTGTTTCTGTAGTCAATTTTAGTAGGGAAACCCTCCCAACCCAAGGGCAGAAGGGCCTTCGTTAAGACCCCTGGCAAAAAAAATAAATCCTGTGAAATCGATTCCCTTTCATACAGGGGGAAATACAAAAATATTCGTTTCAGCAAATGGACTACTGGATCTATTCATCCCCTGAGGCCACCACGCTGGACTGGAACTCTGACTGGGTGAAGCTGGGGATCAGTGAGGGGCCCACGCCTACGAGCAGCCGGTTGGGCCTCTAAGCACCCCAAGGTCCTCCAGTTTTGGAGGTTAGAGTAAGGATACCAACCTTTTTTCTGTTTAGTCTATTTGAGTAGGGACACCCTAACCCTCAAGGGAAGGGGCGTTGACGTTGGAAGGAGAGCAAACATTGAAACTTTGGCAGTTCAGTGGTTGGACTTCAAGCTCTAAACCACAAGAAGCAAAATGTAAAATGTATCCCAACAACAACCATGAGGGGGCACCTGAAAATGTAGAATTACCCCGCCCCCCCCCTTGACCAAGGTTTACGGGGATGTCGATGGGAAACGTTTTGCGGCAGTAAACAAAGGTTGATGGACAAAATGATTTGCCACTTTGAGACCATGGGAAACCGTTGCTCGTTGGTATGCACGGGGGCAATCATAATTCCAGGATGTCTGAGGCGGTGCAGGAATTCGTCCATTCGCAGCATGTCATGCATCCCTAGCTCGAAACATCTAAAAGTCTATGGCTGGCTGTTGCCTCGCTTTGAACCGCCAAGAAAAGGAACAACCTTTACTGCTTGAGTGATTCGTCATCTTTGAGGCTAAGAGCATCTCGGAGCACTGTCAATGATTCGACATGACTTTGCGCCAGGCACAAACTGGCATCGATGGCAAAGAACAGGATTGGGTATGTGTGAAAATCAGGGACCCCCCCCCCAAACTCGGGGTTGTCCTTTTAGCTTCCCATTAAACCAACACCAAAGGGTAAGCGCCCAAGAATCAAGACGGAATGCCAACGCATCACTTTCAAGCGGCCTGGGTGTCACACCAAGTGGCAGCCTGTGAATACATATCTTCGACCCGCGTCATTGACGGACAGTTGCTTTCTTGATTTGTTTCGTTGAGGGGGGTTTTGGGGAAGGGGGGGCGCCTCTCATGCTGCTTGTTGGGCGGGTGGTGGGGGTGCCTTTTGCTCAGTTGTTCAGAGACCCTGGAAAAAAATGGAACCCTTTTTGGGGCTTGGACCTTTTTTAGTGGGGCAGCCACCAAAAAGGGAACAACAAATTGGTGCCACTGAACAACTGAGTTTGAGGTGCTCCGAGGGTCATGAGGAAAGACTGGATGTTTGTTTAGATGGAATCTTCTTCTGACCCCATTGGGTTTTGGGTAATGACAAACCATTTTTAAAGGGTCAGAAGGAGTCTCCAGGTAGATTCGATGGTACCCTCTTTCTAAAAATCATGGCAGTGGACGAGACAAACGGAAAATATTCCCGAACCCTCCCATCGGCAGCTTCCATGATTGTTGGGAGGGTCGTCGAGTTTAAGGGCCCCCAAAAAATAATCGGGCAAATCCAGGATTTACACCCCAAAGATGGGCATTTACCACGAGGTAAATGGGCACAGCACCATCCCAGCCAACAAATATCTATGCCTGGAGTCATGACAAACTGGGGGCATGGCCCAAACTAATTTTTGGGTCAGAAGGAGACTCCCGGGGGAGAAAAACGGCCATCCCAGGCAAAGGCAAATCCAAGCTCCGGGGGACGGAGCTGGGCCGAACACCGGTCGAGGCCCGGACATCAACTTGAACACCAAAAATCCCCTGAAACGCAAAGGAAAGATGAACGCGTCCCATGGGAAAAAAGCTCGAAAACCAAAAATCCCCTGAAACGCAGAGGAAAGATGAAAGCGTCCGAGGAAAAAAAGCTCGAAAACCAAAAATCCCCTGAAACGCAGAGGAAAGATGAAAGCGTCCGAGGAAAAAAAGCTCGAACACCAAAAATCCCCTGAAACGCAGAGGAAAGATGAACGCGTCCGAGGAAAAAAAGCTCGAAAACCAAAAATCCCCTGAAACGCAGAGGAAAGATGAAAGCGTCCGAGGAAAAAAAGCTCGAAAACCAAAAATCCCCTGAAACGCAGAGGAAAGATGAACGCGTCCCATGGGAAAAAAAAGCTCGAACACCAAAAATCCCCTGAAACGCAAAGGAAAGATGAACGCGTCCCATGGGAAAAAAAACTCGAAAACCAAAAATCCCCTGAAACGCAGAGGAAAGATGAAAGCGTCCGAGGAAAAAAAGCTCGAAAACCAAAAATTTCCTGAAACGCAGAGGAAAGATGAACGCGTCCCATGGGAAAAAAAAGCTCGAACACCAAAAATCCCCTGAAATGCAAAGGAAAGATGAACGCGTCCCATGGGAAAAAAACTCGAAAACCAAAAATCCCCTGAAACGCAGAGGAAAGATGAAAGCGTCCGAGGAAAAAAAGCTCGAAAACCAAAAATTTCCTGAAACGCAGAGGAAAGATGAACGCGTCCCATGGGAAAAAAAAGCTCGAACACCAAAAATCCCCTGAAATGCAAAGGAAAGATGAACGCGTCCCATGGGAAAAAAGCTCGAAAACCAAAAATCCCCTGAAACGCAGAGGAAAGATGAAAGCGTCCGAGGAAAAAAAACTCGAAAACCAAAAATCCCCCTGGAGCCCCGAAACGCCACTTTTTTTCGGTCAAAAGGCATATTTGGCATGTTTTTACCCGAAAGGTTATTAACTTGCTTATGTTGCCGTAATTTGGTCAAAATAAGTGTTCGGGACCTCCGGTGAAGGTGACAAATCAATTAAGCGTTCAGAGAGTTCCATCAAAAAAACATGAACACTTATTGCTACAAAAGGGTGAAATCGAGTGATTTCAGCGGTTTGAGAAAACAGGAGCCGGCACACAGCGGCAAAGTACTGTTTTGGCTTAGCTTGCTGGTTTTCACTGTTCCTTGCAAGGCAAAAAATGCAAAATAAGTGTTTTTGACATACCTCGAGGACCTGAAAACATGTTTCGCAGCCTAGGGGGTATGCCAAAAACACTTATTTGGATTTGTTTACGCATAAACTGGCATAAACCGGAGAGGCGCGCTCTTGCTTTCAAATCACACAGAAGAAGTGCGTTTGACAATCCTTGAGACCATGGAAATACATTATTAATCCTCGGCGACATGACGAAAAGACTTCTTTAGAAAGTCGACGCAGAAAACTATGTTGTTGTACTTGTGGCTTTGACAACTTTACCAACAATTCAACTCCCTTGATTGGTGCTCAGTTCAAGAAGTGTTTGCGGGTTTTGCGGGGAATGTGAACAACTCGTATTTGTTAATGGGTCATGCACAAAGAGTCAGTTTGCCTCCGTGCGTGCTTGCGATATGATGTTGCCACGCTGAGGCCGCCCGCAGCTTCCCAAATGGTTTTGACTATTCAGAAGGTCTGCAAATAGTGCAACTTAAGTGTTTTTTTGCAGTAGTTTCAAGCCGTGTAAGCTGCTCAAAAGCAATGACAGCGCTTATCCTTCTCAAAACCGTTAGCGGTGAGTCATTTGCCATCAGTTCTTCAACGGCCTCTCTTCGATTTATTGTGATTTGTTTCTGGTCTTGACTGATGCATGTCCTAAACATATTGAACAAATGCTGAGGCTGCAGTATCATTGCGGCGGTAAAACGGCATGACGCTTGGTTTGCCCTGTCTTAACTTTGATCACAACAGAGCAACTGGGCAAGTCCAAAGGTGTGATACCCTGGCAGTAAAACAAGGCCTGATTTGGGAGTAGCTTGCCCCTAGAGAACAGCTGGGCATATTCAATTGCGCGATGCCCACGCATGTTTTCACGCATGTTAAAGCAGCAAAAATAAACTTCAATGACAATTCGACTGTACCAACAGTGTTTGCCAAATGCTAGGCTTCTAGCTTGAACATGTCGTTCACGAGTAGCTGCCAGTATGTTCTTCCTTGATCAATCCTTTTCTTGAGGCCCGTTTTTAAACTCAGAGCCCGGCGCACGGATTTAAATGAAGCCCACGTCAGAGTTGTTCGCTTCGGGGCCGGCTTTCTATTGTGGGGGTTGCTTCTTTTTCAGGCAGAATCCTGACACGGACACAGAGCTCAGGGGCAAGGAAACGGTGGAAATGTAGGGCTTGGCTTCTCATTGTGGCTTTGTAGCCAACTCCCTACTCACCAAATAGTTTGCTGGATGAAATCAAGTCTGACAGGCTTGGGTCATTTCTTTACGGTTGACCCCATAGACGCACATGATACTGTGACACAAGGCTCAGACACATACCAAGACTTCGGGGGTCAGGACGCTGGTCCTTATTTGGCGGGATGATTCCATACATAAGAAAGCTTGCTCAAATTCGCAGGGTCAAGGCGAAGGTGCGGGGGCGGATGTTCCAAATGTAGAGACATTGAGCTTGCTCTTAGCAGGGGTTCAACTATGAGTCCTGGGACAAGTCGAATCCAATTTTTCCGGGGCCTGGATACGCTGTCTTACTTTAAAGCAAGTTCTGCCTTTAACCCACAGCTGCTCATTTCAAATGGTGCAGAGGGCAAGGGACGGCTCGCTTTCAAGTCTTGGGTTTCGGGACTTAGTTCTTGGCAATAGCTCAAATGCGGAGCCAATTGGCCTAGGTACTGGCGCTTGGTTCTTGGTTGCAAGGCTCAGCGCCTGATGTTAGGGCAAACGATGGCTGGACTGAGAGTGGGGGGGAACATAGAGGGCAGGACGTGAATTGTACCTCACACCCTCCGTAGGTATTTCAACGTGAGACTGAGTAGCGTGAAAAGGGCAGGACGTGAATTATGCAGCACGACCTCCATAGTTAGCTCAATGTGAGACTGAGTAGCGGGGGCGGGTTTTGATTCTTTTTGTAAAGTGATTCTGGACAGAACGCTGGTTCTTGTTTCGCGGACGATTGACTAACAATTGCCAGTTCTCCTAATTTTTGTGATGCAAGGGGATATGCCAGGAGGTAAAGCAATCTTGACAGGTACCTCGAATGCACGGCCGCAATATTAGTGCAACTGTCTGAAACACTAAGCTCCTGCTTTAGGGACAGTTCCTAAAACACAAACAGTACTTGGCTAAAGCATGGTTGTGGGAACTGTGGAAATTTGGTTTTAGGATCCATTTCTGTGATGCCAAGGGAATCCCCTCCAAGGAAACAAAGCAGCCATGGGACTGACCCAAATTGACCCAGCTTCACATCACCGCAAG